TAATTTAACTTTTTAGGATAATGAAATTTGGTCTCTTCGTAAGGCGGGAGTACAACGAAACAAATAGAAAGCCGAAATAATAAAGTGTAAACATGGCCGAAAAGAATGCAAAGTGTCACCAGTGCGTCCTCTGTGCCCCCCATATCTCACTAGGGCCCGTTGGTAGAAACATTTATGTAGTGAGGCTCGTCTAACCACGCAGAGTCGAGGATGGCCATCCTCTGCCCGCCCGACGCCGGGCGCTGACAATGATTACGAAAGGCGGTATTCCTCGTCCTGTCTGGCGGCCACTCAGCGGTGCAGCAGGACTTCTTACATGAAGTTGTCAGTAAAATATTTATATCGAAGGAAGACATGTGAGTGCGCAGTTTAGGATATTACGTAATGAAGAACACTCAGCCTCGTAGCTAGTGGGTACCGGGGGCAGGGGCGTGAAGGTGACCACAGAATGGTGGATCTGTACCTCCATTACACCTTACGTCTTCATGGTGTAGTGCTTAATTAATTAAGCACAGGGGCAACTTTACCGTTCTTACCTTTACCATAACGAGGAACTGTGTTATTTATCCTCGTTAGGACAGGCCATCAGGCGGTTAGGACTCCTTCATATTCAGGAGGTCTTGGGTTCGTATCTCTACGTAGATCGCTTGTATGACTGTTTGGTGTTCCTCAGTCCATCCAGACAATCGGTGTGGTAAGGTACAGTTAAAGTTGTCCCTGTTCTTAATTAAATACCACACCATGAAGACATATTGGGGAGTAGAGGTACAGCTCCACCATTCTTGACCTCGGCACAAAATGGAGGTGAGTGGTAAGCTTCATGCTCCAGCTGCTATACTTCGGGGGAATTAATTCCTTGTACCCATTAGATAGGAGGCTGGCTGGGCCCCAGGGTCGATCTGGACACTGTGGAGAAGAGAAAAATTTCTTGTCCCTATCGGGAATCGAACCTCGGCCGTCCATAACCCATCTCTATACCGACTGAGCCATTCCGGCTTAAATTGTGGAGGTGGAGTTACTGATTCCGTCGTTAAGTAAACAAATGAAATCTTACAGGCTGTGGTAGGCTGGGCATGTACCCAGGACTGGGAAGACCGGGAAAGCTGCCACGTGTCCCTACCAGCGTGCAGTTCACTTCTACTTGATGAAAGTCGGCCAGTTGATGTTCTCAGTAGTAATGTCCATATGTAAATCAGTGGACGGACAGATTGGTGGGCACCCGCGGTCTTCTTTAGTACGTACAGAAGAAACGACGATTCCGGTGTACGTAAAGCAAAAGCTATCCCTGTAACAGACCGTGGAGGCCTATAGATTTGTGAGACGTCGAGGCTGCCACATTTTCTAGCCAGTCGGCTCACAGATGGCGGTAAGGTTGTCAGCCTTACGCGCCTACCTCCCTTAGCCCCCAGGAAGATACCTGGTACTCATTTCTGTTAGAGGCTGAGTCGACCCCAGGGCCATAATGCGGCTGGAAGGAATCGAACCCGTAACCTTCCGGTTTGTAGCGTAGTGCCTCAACCAACTACGCCGCCGCGTGCCCCTGCGTAAGGGTGGTGAAGGTGCAAAGTGTTTATAGGACTGGACCCGGATCTTGAATGCAAGCTAGGCTTGATACACTGCGACATGTCAAACACTGTCAGCTCCAGAGGATCTGGCATATTCCAGTTTCTGTGATTGTAAGTACTGGCAGTGACGTCAGACGCCGTCAATACGTGCGTCCCTTTTAAAGCCACTCTCCAGGGCTTCGTAATGTTTGCAGAACGTTGTGTCAGAATGGAAAATGAAACACGTGTGAGTGTTGCTGATCTTCAGTTCGTGTTTCTTGATTTTGTGAGAAGCTTAAATTGGCCTTCTGCACAGAAACAGCTACGTCTTCTAATTAAACAGTTAGGATTCCAGGCCACAAATTTCATATGCTTGTAGCACATGTTTCTAGTCCTACAAATCTTAACATCGTTTCTGCTGAACGTATTTAGGTAGTGTAAGTTTACAATTCAAATGTAGTTCTATGATATACGTAATTTATCTCATGGGTTGTCATGCTTGGGTCGTGTGTAGGTGGTTACAGTATCGAATCCTTCTCGAATCGAGTCCCTTTTGATGCTTTTATTTTAAATGTACGTGTAGATCCGTTACTTGGTAACGACCTCGAAACAAACAACGAAACAACATTCGCTGATAGGCAACAGATTTTTAATAATCGAGCATACGCGGCCGCCACTGGATAACACCTTCAGAAATAAATCGATTATTCACACCATCTGACGCAGTATAATCCTAGCAATTAAGAGTATCGTTAAATAAACCAAGAATAAAATCAAATATAAAATAATTGACTGTTTCATATCTTGAGATTAAAAGGTTACAGATTGGTTTTAAAAAGTGTTTGTAAATGTTTATTTTGTGTCAGAGGGTTGAATTACTGAACCATTGACTGTTACAATTGGTCAGATTTTGACTGAAAATATATGTGTTGTTAACGGTGAACCGGACAATAACCAGAGTGGTGCTGTGTTACCCGTGCAAGAAAAAAGTCATGCATGTTTTTCATGAAGTTTGTTTTTAAAATCAGTTTGCTGTAAACGTTTCCTCTGGGTAGCAGCACTGTCTAATGCATATTGTTATCCTGTCAAGTGCAATATTTTAATAAAAATGTATATGTCTTTCAGAATTATGGTTTATTATGTTAGATATTTTTGATAGAGTTTATTTGTAACAGTTTCACATTGATAGTAATATTTCATTACAGATCTAAGGCAGAATTGTACCTTCGCTTTTCCTGGACCTTTTATAAGCCCGAATACTCATTGCTGCTTGTTCATCTATCAAAAGAAAAAAAAACAACTCCGTGGTTTTAGTCCGCAACCGAACTATACCGACCCGACTGAGCGACCACCGCATGTCGCCGAAGTTTGTGCAAAGGTCCGGGTTCGATTCCCAGCGCTACTACATTTTCTGAGTAGTGGGTCTGGAAGGGGGTCCACTCAGCCTCGTGAGGATAATTGAGGAACCATTTCAAGGAAATAGAGACCCCGGTCTGGAAAACCGAAATTAACTGCCGTGGGGATTCGTTGCGCTGACCACGTGACACCCCCAATCCGCTAAAGTTATGTTCATCCGCCATAGACACTGATATCTATAAATGTTATCCAAAACATTGTCACCATACAGATATTTAATGAAATAAAAGGAAATGAAACTGATGCCTCTCAGAAGTGTCTTATATACTGCCGATTGCGTGAACATTGAAACCAGTGGGGAATGCAGAATCATGAAGATGTCGTTTGGAAATCATAATGCGGCCTTCTGTAATTACTGAGTTAATTTCTGCAGCAGATGGACGTATATTCCTTTGTTTGTGTTTCAGAAATATTTGCAGCCCTTGAAAAGCCCTGAAAATGCCGGCCTAGTAGATGCATCAGTGGTTGATGCCATGTTTTATCAGGTAACCTGATATCATTTATATAATCAGGCTAAGCATGCTTGGTATTTCTGAGCAAACTCAAGGTTGTAAACAAGAACGGTTATGTAACATAAATTATAAGGCATAATGGATTTTGTTCATGTTCCATTTTATCACAGCTTTGTTTATAATTCAGAGGAATGTCTATTGTACAGTGCGTACAATCAAGTGCGCGCCGCGGCTGCAATTTGCCGTGAGTCATACCACCGCAGAACGGATGCAACTCCCCCCAACGACTGCAGTC